TTCTTGCTGAGATCTGCCAGTGTTGAGAGTGAAAACGGGGATGGGTACTCTGCCCATTTGGGAGCCTTGGAAGCCATGATGACTGAACAGTGAGTTCTAGAGCTTATCAAGCGAAAACCTCAGCAGCTTCAGTCTATGCTCGTCCTTCCTGAGTCAAAATCGCAGCGTTCCCACAATATCTGCTGCGGTCTCATGAAGATCATGAATTCGAAGTCATTTAGGTTCCTTTGCTACTAGGAGCAAAGGGCATCGCTACTAGGAGCAAGGACGCTACTTACTAGTAGCTCCTGGCCTTACTACTCGGAGCAAGAAGCTATTAGGTAGTTTTCTGCTGGTTTTGCTTCGGCATTTAGTGACGGCAGTGACGGCACCGCTACATGTGGCCCAAGACGCCTCGCAAGACTCGCTTGGCGCTTGAAGGTGGGGTTGCCGTGAAGAAGCAACCAAGTAGTTTAAGTAGCTTAAGACATATAAATTTTAATTGGCAAATATTAGCAAGGAAGCTACTGATTAGGTTGGAGGCCATCGCTCTTAGGTTGGAGGCCATCGCTACTAGGCCGGGACGAAGAGCTCAGGCTTCAAGAAAGCTTCCCCCCAAGCGCTGGGAGGAGTTTGGAAGAACGTGAAAGCTGAATGTGGCCTTTGGGTCGGTGCCACCAGGTGGAGGGTCTCTTTCCCGGTTGCCCGCAGTCTTCTTCGGGGAAACCTAAGCTTCGATGGAATGGGACAGACCAGAGACGCTGAACATGCGCTGTGCTTTGTCAGGGAACCTCAGGATCTTCCTCGGCCAAGGCAGTGTCGCATCAGACCTCACACAGAAGACAGATCACACATACAAACAATTGAAGACAGACAAAGAGCGGAGATCTGTGAAGATTGGATTTCAATGGACGCTACTAGGGGCTCCTGGCCTTACTACTACTTCGGGCTCCGGGCTCTTGGCCTTACTACTAGGAGCCAGGACGCTACTAGGGGCTCCTGGCCTTACTACTGGGAACAAGAAGCTACTAGTGGCTCTTGGCCTGACTACTAGGAGCCAGGACGCTACTTGGGGCTCAATGGAGTTCTATTTGACGTTCTCTTTTTCGCAGGCAAGGCCTCAATTCGTTCCTCTAGGCGCACCGCGCTGCCTTGCCAGTAGTTCATTGGTCCATTCTGGTCCTGTGGTGTGGAGTTCTTGGGCTTGCCAGTGGTTTCGTTCTTTTCTTTTGTAGACTTTTTAAGTCTCTTTAATATAACCACCGAAAGGGTGAATACAAGGAAGTGCGAAGGGAGTTTCACAGTTGGAGAGTTTTAATATATATTTAATGTGTTTTTTGCTGATAATTATGTATAGCTGCTATATAGTAGCGATGGCCTCCACCCGAAGAGCGATGGCCTCCAACCTACTAGCAATGTGTATTTAATGTGCTCTTTTTTGACACAGGAGATCATGCAGATCTTCATCAAGACCTTGACGGGTAGAAAGACCAACTTCAATTTTGAGCTGGACGGCGGATGGATGGGGGACACGTTGAGATGAGCCTTGCTGGATACAAAAACGATCAAACACTGTTTGCTTTCCAGCACTTTGGGGTGAAAACTAGCTCGACTTTTCTAGTGGAGCAAAGAACGCTATTAGGGGCTCCTGTCCTTTCTACTAGGAGCAAGAAGCTACTAGGGGCTCCTGTCATCGCTACTAGGAACAATGTTCACTATTAGAAACAATAATTCAATAGAATGAAACGGATTCCATCGTGCGATGACTCGAGGCGGTCCTTGAAATTCTCATTGGTGTATCCCACCGTGTGACGCGCCAAACCGCCAGGACAACACCGTGCGACATGTGAAAGAAGCACTTCAGGAGATTTGTAGACTCGTCTTTCGTGGCCAACGAGCCTCTTTCTGATGCATTTACGTGCTCAATCCGAGTACGTTGCCGTGGGCTTTCTACATAGGTCGGACTGCAAGCCGCGATCGCTCTCGGCCTTGCAGGAGAAGGAAGGCATCCAGGTTGAACAGTTCCTTGGATTCGATATGATGCGTAGGTTGGAGGCCATGGCTACTAGGTTCCTTTTTGTATTTATGTTTTGATCAATGAATGATCAACGCCTTTGGGCTTCGTCCTGATGCACCCGTGTGCAGTTGCTGACCTAGCTGTTTCGTTTCTTTTTGTCGCATGCAAGGATCCGTCTGATTTACAGCGGAAAGCAAATGAGCTGGGCACCAAGTACAGAGGTGCAAGACGTACAGCTTTGAACCGGTTTGAAGGCGCACTTTGAGGCAGCAACATGAAGGGACTATCGCATGCACAAGAGGGCCACCCCACTGATTTGGTATCCAAAACAGTCACGACAAGCAATCAGCAGTGATAGACCTGGTGACAGACCTACAAGATCTACAAGTCATCCCGGTTTGACCGTCACACGGTGACCGCTCTGAGGTGATGAATGCACTCTGAACGACTACAACGTGAAGCCTGGCAGCACGGCCGGGAGCCTCGAAGAGACAGTAGCGGTCGGCGAAGTGGAAGATGTGCTTTTTTTTTGTTTTTTGGGGGTTATATTATATTATAGAATATAATAGACGTGTAAAACACGTTGAAGGGTTCTAAGTTAGATGGACAATGTACGGAATCTGGCCCACGTTCCGACTTAAAGGAGGCTGAATGAAGGAGGATTCTGTGGATGCGGTGGATTGAATTACTTGATTGCTGCAGCTTCCCCGCAAACAAATCGACTTGGGGTCAATATGATCATGCCGAAGCCGATCTGGAATTCTGACTCTCCCAAAGTGAAGAAACAGAGCCGAAATTAAACGATTTGAAATAATGAATGTTTGGAGCAATGGAAATGAAAGGAACATGAGAAGATCCCTTCCAAAAGCGATGGTCGAGAGCACATCACGTGGGTGTCGCACATCCGACCCTCACGGACACCCACATGCACCGTTTATCCCAACAAGAGAGGCAATCTCTTCAAGACATATTTGACATGCAGAGTGTCATTCGTGTCATGTCATATTGTATATAGATATGATATATGTAGATATCACACCACTTCATATCATATATATAAATATATAATACTTGGAAACTATTTGTTGACAAAGCTCACACACAAAACAAATATCATATTGATAGTGTTATGACAGTTGTTATTGACTTATGATATGGTAATTTTCTGTATTTTGTTGAAATCTGATGGTGATGCAGCCAGATTTTTGTTGTGATGATATGGTATTTGACCATGTAAACAGTTGATGTATGTATACATATAACATACTATAATCAAAAACATAGATGATATTTCATTGTTGATGTATTATTTGTGATTCTTGTTGCCAATGTTCACAGAATGAACCCCTTCGCAGTGCTTTCAGAAATGAAAGTGGAACCCTTCTAGTGATACACAGGGAAGATTGAAAAACAGAACAGCAAAAAAAACATATAAAAGACCAGACAATCTAAAAAGTACCAACACGTGAAGACAGCGCAAAATCCATGACACTCTGCAGGTTCACATGGTCCTGCAGCTCCGAGGTGGCATGTGAAGCTCCCAGGAGTGGTGTTGTTTCTGTGAGTTTGGCAGAACCTAGTCTGTTCGCTCCGGCCGTACTTCTTACTTTTTGGATTTCTAAGTTGGATTGTTGGAATGCATGCTCCTCAGAGATGGGTTGGATTGTTTGTTCTTTGTTGTTCTTTCCTTTGTCTACTTCTTTTCCTGGAAAGTGTTTGATCAAATGGCTCAAAACACATTTCTTCACGCCCGGACTTTATCCCTTCTGGGTGGTTGTGTTGGAAGGCTGGAGGTTGGGGATGGTTTGGAGAGATGCGTTGGCAGATAGTGCAGGAGCAGTGCTGGTTGCGAATTGGACAGACCACAGCTCGTTCCGCCGTGAAACATGAGAGTTCCGCTTGCAGCTTGCTGCTGGGGGAACATGCTTTTTGTGATTTACAGTGCAAAGTATCCTGCAGTGTCCTGCAGTGCAAAGTGTGTTGTTTTTTTACGTTGAACATCTTTAGCATGTTATACTCTAAATCAACATTTAGGAGACGGAGTGCACTGACTTCATAGTCGTTGGGTTTGACTTTGACAGACCTTCGCTCCCTGGCGACGTCAGTGCATAGGGAAGAGCATGGCAGACCATAGTGGTCTGAATGGCATGCGATCCATGCGGTTCTGGGCTCATAGCAGGGCTGCAGGGCTGGGTGTCCTCAGCAATCTCAGGCTGAGTGGGGCAAGATGAAGAAGCTGTAGACCCGATGCTTTTTCTTGGTTGGATAAACATATGTATTAGCATGCATCATTTTCCCATGCATTGAAACGGTTACAACATATATAAGATGTTGGTGGGCTAATCCAGCTTGTGCCCACCTGGATTGACACATCCAGCATGTTGTTGGACAAGAGGTATAAGAAACGTCCAGATTAGTTTTGGCAGGTCCGTCTCAGCTGAGAAGACAATTAGAAGGGTGAGAGTATTCAGTGCTAATTTTAAGACGTCAGTCTTGAGACTGGCACTTTCTTGGCGCATGAAACTTACTACTAGGAGCAAGGACGCTACTAGTAACTCTTCGAATGGGCTTTGACGTGGTCTTTGACTCTTTATCTACTTCGTGAGCCCGCGAGTTTCGTACAGGCTCGACACGAGTTTGCCAAGCTCGTGAACCCAGCTCCGAGAATCGCCCAAGTTCTGTCTCTTTCGCATCATGACACCATTTTTGGAAGGTCCTAAGATGTCCTAAGTACATCTAAGTACTCATTGTCTCATTTTTGTGCCAACCTGAAGACAACTTTCAGGCTGTTTGCCCGTGTTCGCCCGGTCTGAAGACCAGGGTCCTTATTTGCGCAAGCTTGCTGACCGAGGCACAGACGTCCAAATCCATTTGATTTCGGGGTGGGTGGCTTGGTACATGTCCACAACTTCACAATTGCTCCTGGCAGAAGTTTTCATGGAATGACAAGTAAGACACTCAAAGCGCTTCTGGTTAAAGAATAAGATTCCCTGAGGCACATGGCATGGCCTGGCAAAAAGCATTGCTGCTGGCCATACTTCTAGGTTTGCGGGGTTTTCTCAAGAAACTTAATGACCTTAGACATTAGAGACCTTTCTAGGTTGTAGCTATGTTGAAAAGAGTGTGACTTGTGTAAATGGAAACGACCTGCGATTGAGTGTCTAACGATGTCCAGCGCGTAGATGTGCATGTCGGTGGATGGATGGCCAACTTCCAGATGAATCAGATGGCAACCATGGTTAGTTTGAAATGAAATGGTATGGCTCCGGTTTTTTGTTGCTCTCCTTCACCATAGACTAGTAGATAGTTCCGACGGGTTTGGACTGCCGCAGAATCCATTCGGGCCATTCGAGAGAGCGTGGAGATCAGTGAAGAGGTGCGTCCCCGCTTTGCTTCTGCTCCGATTTCGATTCCCACCGAAGATGTTCTTTTGAACGAAGCATTGCAGGTAGAAAAACCCGGCATCACATCCAGTTGCTAAATGTATTCTCGCTTTATTGTCGGGGGTAGCAGTAGCATATGCAAGCATACAAGAATTCTTGTTTACTTACTTTCCACCTATTCGGTTGGAGGCCATTGCTGCTTGGCAAATCTTCGCTTCCCTATGACATCCGTGCAGGTGAGACGTTCTGTCAGGCTACGAGCAGGCGCGGATGGAGCGAAAGAAAGGAGGCTGAAACGAGGTGAACAAAGACCTATTTCATTATAAGTGAGGCAAATTTCATGTCTGTGCCACAGCAGAGTTGAACAAAGACCCTGCACAGTTATTTGAGAACGTTTGATCCAATTTGATTTAGAAAACAGTTGCATATGCACTCGCTTTTGGGCGCTTCTGAGAACTGATTCATTATTTTCTAGAGGTGGAAACAGGAACCGCGTGCTGCGTGTTACAAAGAACTGCTGTAATGGCTTCGTGTGGCTTCGCTTGCGGGCTCCAGCTTCGCGGGGCGGCATGGCGAACCCCAAGGGCCATTTGCCAGGATGTATGTGCAAGGCTGGGAGCACCGACAGACAGGTGACGACAGGTACGTAAAATCCTTGGATCAAAGAGATGGTGGAAGGGTCGAAAATGAGAGGCGCTTCACCGGCGGTTAGGCTTGCAAGACTTGGGAAAATTGGATTCGACAATTTGACAGTGTTGCGTTGCAAGTTCAGCTCTCAAGCATTCTTCGTGACACTTTATGGCTATACTTTGGGTCTGTCCTATTAACAGTAAGTAAACAATGATTACTATGTTTGAACAAGGCCTTTACTAACCATAATCATCCACTGTTACAGGTATTAGGATAGACCCAAGCGATACTCTTTGCAGGATTGCCGGGCAGGTGTCTTGGCCAGAACTTCCTCCAAAGCGCTACAGGTTCATTGCATGTTGTTGACGAGTATGGTGTGCTTTCGCACGATGTTGACAACATGCTGCTCCATGTGGGTTGGTCCAACAGTGGGGGTTGGTAAAGCGGGTTCACATTGAAGCTTTGATACATGCTTGGGCATGTCACCATGACAAAGACAATCCATGTGGCCATTTAGATATATTTAGAGTAAAATCAGTTGTGATCCTCGGAGCTTCGCAAGTACATTTAGTCTTTCTCCAGTCAGACTGCTCAAGCTGACACTGAGGAACGCTAGAAGCAGCAGCTGGCTTCCTCGCTAGTGGTGGTTTTCCTGGGGCCTGCGGGGGCTATGGCGACAGCGGAGCTGGCTGCGGCTGCGGGGCCAGCGGTGCTTGCGGTGCTTCCAGCAGCTGCGGCGGCTGCAGTGGCGGCAGCGGCGGCTGTGGCGGCTGTGCAAGTTGGCCTGGCTGTTCAGGTGGTGGCGCAAGCAGCTCTGCTGGACCCAAGGTAGTGAAGAATCATTTGCCAGGGCCGCTTGGATGACGACTAACCTCAACAACTGCAGCTTGAAGATAGCATGGTTTTCATGAGATCATGATTAGGTCATAATGTTTCTTCTGAAACTCACTAGATTCTCTTGCCCAGATTTGTTTCTCTACAGCTTGGAGTTCATGCGTGGCCAGTCCTTTTGTTCTTTTTGACACTGGGCATGAAGCCGCACGAAGCACAATAGCACCACCAGAAATTGAAATCCCACTTGTTTTGCATATATTGCACTCTCGTCAGGATCTCAGTGGAGGCGGAGGCCATTCCTATTAGGTTGAAAGCCATTGTTTGAAATTCATGTCCTTTCATGGTCCTATTGCAGTGTTTTCTCCCAGTAGCTTCTTGCTCCTAGTAGTAAGGCCAGGAGCCCCTAGTAGCGATGCCCTTGCTCCTAGTAGCGGCAGGTGCATCTGCAAAGATTGCAGAAATCGCCCGGAGAACTCCATGGATGCCATGAGCGCAGCCCTGGGGATGCCGTGTGGCCCCTGTGGCCCTGCCCAAGCTGCGAAGCTCGCGGCCACGGCCCCCCGGTGTGCGAAGAGTGCGCCATTCAAAACCGAAATGACAAGAGACCGAAGGAAGAGTCGGAAGAGTGTGTTTTTTAGAGGAAAAAACATGGACAAACACCTACAAAGATCATAAAAGCACAATGTCTTTCTAATAGATGATAAAAGCTTCTTTCAGAAGATCTTCTACTAGCTTCTTGTTACTACTAGTAAGGCACTTGTTACTAGTGGCGATGCACTTGTTCCTAGTAGCGATGCACTTGTTCCTAGTAGCGAACATTGTTTCTTTATAGATGTTTACGATTGCATAAAAGCGCGGAGCCCTTGATGTCCTCCAACCTAATATAAATTATATAAATGCAATCCTGGAGGGTTGGTCGTTTTTGCCCTGTGCTTACAGACTCTTCTTCCTTCATGCTCTTACTTTGACCACAGGTGTACGATGTGAGATTTGCCAGTATTTGCACCCAGCTGTGGAGTAGCAGTAGCCTCTTTTGATCTGTCAAGACTTTGCTTTGGATTTGCTTGGACAAACTTGGAGCTTTGTGCCCTTTTCGATCGCTGTCAATATGGATCGGATCATGACGATTGCAACCTCACTTAGGTGGCGTCTGACTGGTGGGCCGAGGGCAACTGGTGGGATGATTGGTGGGATGACGGCAGCTGGTGGGCAGGCGAGACAGTCTTTCGTGGCCAGACACGATGCCTTCGTTGAAACGAATTGCCACGAATGAGCCGAGCGCGAGCGCACGAGGTTGGGATGATGGCAGTTGGTGGGGTCCTCAAGGCTGGGAGTTGTCACCTGCATTTCGGTTTGGATCCGACTAGACTGGGATCCAGCGAGGCCTTCATGACGGAGCTTGTCTCCGGGTGGTTCTTTGATTTGATGCTCACCTTTCTTATCCTTTGGTTGGACATTCCGGAAAGTTCCCAACTTGCTGTAAATCCGGAGCATTTGGGGCAGTATTTGTTCAGAGAGTCTCTTCTTTGCCACCGGTGCGTTTTAAGGCTCTTTGTTTGGTGGCCGAAAAGAGGCCTTTCATTTGGTTGGTCAAACCTTGACACAGTCCTCGACCAGGCACAGAGGGCACAGCACTTCTGTCGAGAATACTATGCTATGCCATATATAGTAGTGGTGGCAGTGGTAGCGGTTGGCAAAACGACTGAGATTGATGTGGATCAAGAGACGGAACAATTCTCAGATGCCAGGAAACCCCATGGATGCCTCTATGGGCAACCCCATGGGCAACCCCATGGGCAACCCCATGGGCAACCCCATGGGC